CTCTATTAGGCTCTGAAAACAGCTCACTCGAAATGTACCACAAAGTCTGGAAACAACCAGATGTCTATCCCTAAGGGACTGCTTTAATAAGTCGGGATGCAGCCTCACAGTAGAGACGTGTGTATCCAGAAAAAAGAAATGAGAAGTATGCCTCCACATTACGATGCTGGGGTCTCTGAAAAATAGTTAAAATCAAACCAAGATGGAGAAAAATGTGAGCAGTGGGCTAATATCTGTAAGAAAATGGGTAGATTAAAAAATGTATCAAAAGAAAAAGGGTTCTCTTGGGCTCTCTGGTTAAGAGCACTTGCTGTTCTTGTAGAGGGTGCAGGCTTGGTTCCCAGCACTCATATGATGGCTCATAGTCATCTATACCTCCAGTTCCAGGGATTCAACACCCTCTTCTGACCTGTATGGCTCCCAGGTACACAAAAAGGTGCACACACATTCATGTATGCAAAACCCTCATCACATAAAAATATAAATACTTTAAAATTAAAAAAAACCAAAAGGATTCTCCAAAAGGAGGGCCTTAACAGGGTCATCTGTCAAAGATAAATGCTAAACTGGTTTTATTTTTTATTTATATTTTCCTTTTGGGTCATATAACTTTCATAATCTTAAAGAATAAAATATTTCAGAAAAGCAATCTTTAAAAATTAAAAATAAACCATAGCTTCCCTGCTCCCCTATCCGACCTTCCTTTATCCCAAACATCCCGTTTCCCAAGTTCCCCCCAACCTCCCCTTCTCACTTTTCTCTCCCCATCTCCCCTTACCTCCCTCCCCCCCTCCCCCAAGATCCCATTTTTTGCCCGGCAATCTTGTCTACTTCCCATAATTAAGGGAGCCATCTTAGGGTTGGCAAGAGATTTGGTGCTCCCAGGTGCCCAGGGCGATGTCCCCAGTTAGTTCCTGGGGCAGCTGAGGACAGAGAACCTGAAATGACCCTATCCTATAGCCATACTGATTAATATCTTGCATATCACCATAGAACCTTCATCTGGAGATGGATGGAGATAGAGACAGAGACCCACACTGGAGCACTGGACTGAGCTCCCAATGTCCCAAGGAGGAGCAGAAGGAGGGAAAATATGAGCAAAGAAGTCAGGACCA